TACTGTATTTATATAAAAAAAAACCTGATTCTTTTTGCTAGATGCGAATCTAGCAGTATGATAACAAGTTTTACATTTAATAGAAAATGTAAAATTACATCAATTCGCAATACCAAGTAAGTGTAAAATAATGGTGGAACATGTGACCTGCTAGTGTTATCTGGAGTGAGCTATCAGGTATGTGGGGGCTGTATATGCATTTGATTTCTTCTGTCGTCATATATATATCTACTCTCTTTGGCCGTCAATTCAGTTTTCCAGTTCGCAAACTAATTAAAATGAAAATTGAACTATGATAAAAGCAATACTATGAATTCGAGCTATTTATCCCCCGCACAGCAAACCTGCAGACTAAAATAATTTCCAATAACTGATTGGATTTTCACTGAAACGAAATATTTCCTTAAAGATGTTAGATCTATTCCCAATTACAACGACATTGGATTAGTGAGTTTTTATTAAAATATTAATTGTTTGGTATAAAATAAATAAATTAATTTTGATCAAAATTGGATGATTTTTACTCGAGTTATCGTGCTAACGGATATATATTATATGAATTTTAATAGACTGTGTTTTGCCCTTTAGGGACATCAACACGAAAATATTAAGTGGCCCCGGGTCTAGTTCTTATCATGAGACCTACGGTAAGAGCGTGTTCCCTGGGACCTTCAATAAAATGGCTTAGGTGTATTTTCCATAAAATGTAATGTCAGAAAAGGTTTTTGGTGTACGTAGTTGGTGTTTATGGAACTTATCGTCCGGGTTTTGGTCAAAGCGTTTCTCAATAAAAAGAAAAGTCTCCGTTTAAGAAAAAAAAGTATAGTTACTATACAATTCATATTTGCTAAATCAATCTTAGAGTACTTTAAAGTGTATTTATTTGAAAAATTTACCTATATGTAAAATCAGTAGGTAAAATATATTCTCGCAGCATAGGGCACTGTTACTGTTGTGAAGCTAAACTCAATCAGGATATATTGATCTGACATTGACTCAAACTTAAAATGTTTTATGAACACAATATTTTTCTGGATAGGGGAGAAAGTAAAAAGCCTAATTGGAAACAATGTTTCCATGTAGCGTATTAAATATTTACTAGAGTACATGTTGCTCGAATTCGAGCAATTAGGATTTGCAAACCAATAACAATCATACTAAGCTGTCCACATTTCAACAAAAACACACCTACCTTCCCTGTAGCAGCAAACCTAGGTACTCATATTAAAATTAACTTATTGTTATTTATGTAGGAAACAATGACCATTTTCAGGGAATATGTTTGTAGAAATTAAGCCAGGTAAATGGAAATATTGGTTTGCTGCGGATGCACAGTTTTAATAACAACAGCAATGATTGTAGAATCTGAATTATTACTTATATCCATGAGTTTATCTAGCAATTATTTCCTGTAAAATATTGTTGTAAATGTAAAATAGCAGCTAAAAAATATTGGACAGACTCGGTCAACAAATGACGTAACTGAAAGAATCCCATACTAATGACATTAACATATAGTTTGACAGTAGTTCCATTTAATCAATGTTAAATGTTTACATTCGGGCGAGTGGCATATTTTATTTATGTTTATGATCCATACAGTTCCTGTTCTAATAATCATGCAGTATTTAATATATTTGGACCAGCTGTGTGGAATTTTGAAATCAAAATTAATTTGACAGTTAGTTCTGATTGTTTACATTTTTAAATTTTGTGGGTTTGTTCTTTGTTACCATGGATACCATAAATAAATATTTCACTTTTAATTTCTGACAACAGCTGGAGTTTCATAACAAATTTTGTTTCTCATGTTAATCTTGTGGATAAATACGAAACTTTAAAGGGCCCCAGGGCCTCACTCTCTAATTATTTACCTAAAAAGAAAGTTTCCTGCACAACTTCACGTTACGCTCTTTACAATGACACCAAAAACATGTCAATCGGTTCAGTAGTTTCGGAGGAGTAATTGTCACAAAAATCCTGCTTGCGTATTAAATAAGTAATAGATATTTCACTAAGCATTAGCTAAAAGACTGATTTTCTCTCTTAAATTTGGAACTCCAAAACTACCACAAGCTATTATGTTATATCTTACACAATTCTCTTCTATGGTAACTATTTGATATTTTTACAAAAGACTTATTTCATGTCAGATTTTCATCATTAACGAAGTTACTACGTAACAATCTTGGGAATCGTGTTTGAGACATTTTCACTTACACAACCATTCAAGAATCACGGGACAAGTCAAAGTAATTTAGCATCAAACTGTGAAGAGCCAAGCAGGAATAAAGACTCGGTTATGCAAGTGCCGAAGTAGTAATAGGCGCACACGTGTTGAGGTTGAGGAGGGCACGTTGCGGCCACCTCCCCCTTCCCATTGACGTACATAAAAACGTGTTTGAAATCCAAAATATTTGTATGCACTAAATATTTTTCCTGCCACTGCACGGAAATGATCACATTGCCATACCTGTAAACAGCACACAAAATAGCTCATTGTCCCTCTAGAGCGGGAATGGATCATTATCGCTCGCTATAAATCAGCTGATTTCACAGTTGTCGTTTCTACACTAATCACAGCCGCGGATCCGGTACGTTAGTTAACCCGTAAACAAATTACATAACCTTAAAAAAGTAAACGTAAACTATATTAAATTTTATATACATTTAAAACGTTATCTAAGTTTTGTTGTTAGTTGATAATGGTGGTAGGAAAAATCTTGGGTGTAGGCCTATTACCAGCACAAACAGTCATTGCACTCTTAATACACAAATAGCTATTATAGATTGAGTATACACAGAATATACTTCCCATGTGATATAAAAGTTTGAAGTAAAAAAATAGATGAAGTTCAGGCCCATCTCACCAGGGTTTACTAGTGTATTTCCAAAGGGCTACGCCTGCCATGCTTCCTAAGTTTATATGATTTAATTTAATTTATTTAATAAAACAGCTGGTCAGTACAATGAATGGTGTTTGTTTATTTACTCGAAAAAGATGTTTGTGAAGCTTTATGTAGATTTAGGAGGGTTATGTTTGGTTTTAAAGAAAGTTTGTATACGTTTTGTATAGAATTGCGCAAAGTTTCATTTTGTAATTTATATAGTAAGCTAAATGTAAAGAGGCTTGACTAAAGTTGAAGAATTATGGTAAAACATGTCATTCGTGAAGCATCAATATGAAGCAATTTATGTTATTGCTACACTAAGGTATGTTGTCATATTCTTTTGGATCTATTAACATAAAAAGTAGGGGTTTGAAAGTAAGCAGGTTAACACTTTTAAATCAGTTTATATTTTCAAACTAAATCATAAAGTTGCCGTATTTTAAAACACACATCAGGATTACTTTAATAGCTCTCTAGGTCACATTTTCTTCCCGTTGCAAAGCAGGTATAGCAGCTTGTATGAATTAAAACCAATTCAGTATCATAGCAAACAGCTGATTGATTAATCACTTAACACAGAATATTTTCATTACTTGGTAGACCATCTCAACAGATTGCACCACGTTTTTTTCCTTCAAATTTTTACATTACATGGAACTCTATTCTGTGTATAGGCAATGGTATTAGTTACTACAATAGTGTAGTATCCTATATCCCGTAATGAATTGTATACGCTGAACATTTTTAACTTTCTTAGATTATTTTAGAAATATGCAGAATTTAAGAAGACATTTTTGTTAACACAGGTTTCAGGTCGTGTAATAATAATCTGTATATTGACAAATTAGGAAACTACTTTTGTTTTACAGAGAAAATTCGTAAAACACAAACTAACTACATACATACCGTAGTCCAAGTTTACTGTTTGTAAATAATTCGGACACCATCGCACGCGGGGAATTTATCTGTTTCCCAGCATTTCTGTAGTTGGCAGCACTGCCATTGTTACTGAACATTGATGGTTCGACATATCGATTGAATCATTCGAGACTCGAGTGCGATACGGACGGAATCCTTTAAAGTGTGTATGGCATGCAAACGATACAGAAACGTTTGTCTAAATTATAAAGATACAGACACGTTCCATGTTAAAACTTAACTAGTAAAATGAATCTGATATATATGTATATTTCGATTTCTTCAACACATCGACCTAATAGTTTGCGAAAAACGTGTTTTTCTGCTTAATTAAATTCAGGCGGGGTATTGTGTAGGCCTATCTACTGAATTAGCCTTTGTAACGGCAAACAGTAATAAATTATTCATGCAAATGAATACATTATGGAATCATCGATGAACATTTTCAAGACCAAAACATTCGGTTTATTTTTATCTTTTTCTATACTCAATACCTTTAGCATTCTACACTACAGAATTGACCATAGAATAAGATACTGTATTCTACTATTACCAGTATACAAAGTCAATGAGCTTGCTAACGAATTTGACACGTCAAGAATCCAGTAAGTTGTACAATATCGTCTTTAGTTTTCCTTCATCCTTTGGCCCGCGGATTTTGAAAAGGGAATGATAAAAGAGAATGTTGCCAGGATGTCCTAAAGATAGTTTTATAAACTTTAACAATGTTCAGGCTAATGAATTATGCATTCAAACAAATACATAAACATTCGTAGTCGGCTTAGTTTTTAATTTGTGCTTGCTTCGTATTACAATAGAAATAGATCATAATTTTTCTATCATACTACATTTCAACAAAATCCTTAACACGTGACCTGCCACAAGTTGATTTTTGTTCTGTAACACCGACGCCAAAAGATGTCAAAAGTACATACGCAACTACAATACAAATATAGAATTTTATTTCGGTACTGAAATACCAATGCTCTCCGTGCGTCACAATGCAAATTAACTCTTAACGCATTCACATACGCTCCTCCTCAGAAGATGCAAGGAAAAGAAAATCGGAAGAATCACCATGGAAACAAAGGAAACGGACAGATAAGTGAAAGGGAGAAAAGGGAAAAGTAGGGAAAGATGACACGTGAGCTGCTAAGGTTGGCAGTCCTGCGCACTCACGTGTAGCTATAATGTGACCAGCTTGCCGTGGTTATGTACAGTCAGATGTTGAAGTGACTTCGAGTCGACTTGTCGTGAACATTGTGATCTTGCAGTGTTTTACGTGAATGTTGCTGTTTACTAGTGACTTGTGTTAGAAGACTCCGTGGTACAACATGGCAGCGAATATGTGAGTTTCAAGTTTAAATTATATATTTTTTCCACTATATCCCCCAATGTGTCGCAAGTTTAGCAGTCGCCTGGCGAGCAACGTGACTGAGGACTTCTGGCGGATTTGTGGTGAGAAAAATCGTTATTGACGGTTGGTAAGTGTGTTGTTAACAATTGGTATAGGAAATTGAATTATAAGTAACTTACCCAGTCGCCAGGCCAGAACTTAAAATTTAGGCCTAAAAAAATCTGTTTAGGAAAAATTGTTAAAATTATTTTTTTACCTTACATCTTTGTTTCCGAGGTTCTAATCCAAGATATTCTGCATGGACTTTTGTAAAAAGGCTGAATAAAGTTACACATACTTCCTTTAAAACATAATAACTTGTATCGAAAACGTTACCCCTGTTTTAGTTAAAAGTAATATAGTTTTGGTTAATCATAACTAACTTTTAATTACCGGTATAGTAAAAAATTGCAAGACAATGTTTTGCATGACATAGTTTGTATTTCAATACTTGAATTAATAAAGGGGAAACAATGCTTCTCTCAAACCAAGAAGGAAGAAAATTGAGTTATTTCAATCATATTCAAACAATACAATAGTAAACTCACAGTGATATGATACCCAAAATCAGCGAGAGGGTTCACCGTTAATGAACAGATTTTTAAAGCTAACGGTAGAGTATGGAAATAAAGACAAACCAAGTAAGTTACAAACGCATTGTTGAGCCATAAACAGCGCGTCTTTACCGCGAGCGTGGGTGTAGTGGAACCTTTTGAAACGTCGAGGAAAGTTTCAGCTCGGTACATTAGTCTTCAGCGGGATATTTCGTTAAAAGACTTGACAAACCATCTACCTAAATAATACAAAAATTCACCATTATTTTAAACAGATCGACTGAAACTAATTTTAATTTATTTCACCGTCGTTGTGTTTAAATCATTGACTACTAGTAGAGCCCCGTCGAAATCGACGGTTAATCTTGAGGTTTTATGTAAATTCAGCTAACTGCGATGGATAGAGTGAAGTCATTAAAATCTTAGTTAAATGAAGGGAGGATAAACATAATTGTGTTCCCTAAAAAACGTGATTGATGAATTCGTTTAACACAATATTTCCTACCTTTTTATCGGCTTTAGGTTGCCCAAAAGGTTTTTTAGGAGTCTTATAATTGTTTGTTCATGAGTTTGTTTCATACCAAAGCCACTTTCACTATATGGGAGAATGAGTTCATATAATTAATCTATCATGTTACGGAAAGAGTCAATATTTATTACTAACAACTAATTCAATCTGCTTTAGGAAAATCATTCAGATTGTATCCGGATTTATAAGTAAATCTTCATCTTTGGTCATAAAAAATACAGAATTTTATCAGCATATTAAATCAGTTTTTTTTGTATTTGATAAAAATATCTGATTCTCTAGAAAGCAGTAAGATTCTTACTTCGATCTAAGCAATTTTAATTCCTTCTCTTGCCACATCGACCCATGTATTTAATCATCCTGTTCTTACTTGATAATTCATTAACTTATGGGATAGTTTCGCCTTGGCCAGATCTATAACATAAAGCTGTGCACGTATTTCGTGGATGGAATGAACCATAATTGTAGGAAATTTGATCACAAATCTTGAACATTTGCGGAACCAAATCCATAACCTAGTCCAGCCTTGGTAACAAATTATGCAAATGCGATTAGATGTGATGACACTGTTGTGTTTCCGAATGTTTTGTATGTAGTGAGGTTTAGATGCGTTGTTACATGTGTACAGCAAAGTAAAAACCCTGTACACATTCTTTTAAATACCTGAATTGACATTAGTTCACATACTTTACAAAAACCATAGATGAAACATACTCCGTAGTTAGTCTATTCCAAAACTTGAACACAGCTCTCATCCTCAACGTACTCATCTATGACACAATTTTTTACCCGATTGTCGAAAACTTTTATACCAATAAATGAATTTCTAGTGTTCTTTCTTGAATTCAAAAATGAATGGTAATTGAAAGTAGGCAGAAAAAGGCACGTGCCAACCTTACAATATATATTAGCTAACCCGATAAGGAATAATTATGTTCCTTTAAAATTGATATGTCACACTTATTTCATAATTTAAAATTTTCTAAGAGCAATAAAGCATATATCTTTGATAACAACATTTAAAACGTATCATAAATTCATCATTTTGTTGAAACTATAAAAAACTTGCCATGCAGTGGAGAATCAATTTAAAATCATAACTAATAATGTAAACATTTAATTTGACAGTTTCAGTAGACCTTTGAATACAAGTTTAATATTAACAGCTGGTTCATTTAAAGTAGTGTACATAGCATTATCCATATGGTCGTAATGTAAACAAAATTGCTGAGTGAACTTTAAAGGCCTCTGGGGCAGAGTCCCAAGGAAATTTATCTCGTTTCTCTTTTGAGGGCTCACCTACAGACCAATACCATTCTTTAGACACCCCTACCAAGTTTCTACACCCAGCCGTTCTCTCAAATTAGCTGTGACAAAACCCCGTTTTTCTCCATAAGAATAACATGGGATGGAACTTTAAAGGCCACTGGGGCAGAGCCCATAGGGAATTTACCACGTTTCTCTTTTGATGGCTCATCTACAGACCAAGACCTTTCTTTAGACACCCCTACCGAGTTTCTACCCCCAGCCGTTCTCTCAAAATAGCTATGACAAAGAAAAACAGTTTCAAATTAATATATAGATTGGATTCATGTATACAGAAGTAGACGTCCCATCCCAGCTGTAAATTGTACCAGCTGTAGCAATTTGTCTGTAAAAAAATAACGTAGTTGTGTGTGCCAGTCACAGAATGCGCTAGTAGCTAAAACTGTATTTTGTACCTTAATGTTTGTTACTGGCCAAGTTGACGGGTCTTGTCAGTTTCTATAGCTCACAATAAGTAATTCCATTAGTTTAAATTGGTAAAAAAGATAGGTAGTGTATTGAACAGAGATCAGTAATTTAGATCAGCACAATCCGTCGGTGGCTCACATCAACTACGACAATTTTGGTAAAATTGGATACATATTAAATGTTTCTAGTGATTAGAGACCTCACCTAGCTTCAGGGTGTGGTGTAAGGAATATACCCCAGCCGCAGCAAAAGCAAACCTGCAGACTAAGCAACGACGGACTATTTCCATTTGCCTGATTGGATTTTACCATATTTTACTAACATATCTGAATCGCCTTAAAAATGTATAATTTGCAGCTGCATGGAAGGTACTAGGGTGCTTTTTACTAGTATAGTATGAAATAAATACATTTTCCAAATTTTATCAAAATAAACAAGTAAACTATAACAGTTTGCTCTTTCTCCGTAATAATAACATTGTCATTTTAAATGTACAGTTTTTGGAATTTTTTTACCATCAAGCGAATGACAACACTTCAATAAACTAAATTATTTGTATATAACATATACATTATTTACTATAATTATTTGTATATAACATAAGTTCTGCAAAGTGGTTTAGAAAAAAATTGCAAAGTTTTATGTTTTTAGGGTCAGAAATGGGAATAACCCATTTTCACCCCCCATAAACTCCCGTTCCCATCGTCCGATCACGCTGGTTCGCGAATTCATTCGAATAAAAGTAGGTTTACACGTTTACACCTAATTTCATCAAAATCGGATCATTTTCCTCGAGTTATCGTGCTAACAGACACTATAAATAAATTTATGAATTGGAACATGTTTTGGCTACTTGGGACCTCAAAACTAAAAAGTAAATCCGTCCCGGGCCCAGGTACTGTATTACCATGAGACCTACGGTAGGCCCACGAATACTAGGAAAATACCTTTCTATTATTCGTGGGTATGCCTAATAGATTTTCCCTCTATGAGAAATTAACCAAAATGAAGAGGGATTTTCGAATATTCGTTAGGTCTACTCTTATTCTCGTGGCATTTATTATTAGTATCATTACTAAATGAAGTAGGGTTGGAATTAACTGGTAATAATGTAATGTAAAGCCGACAATCCCCATTCCATTAGTTTCGGTCAACACTACAAATTATTCTGATATTGATTTTTGATATGGACCTAAGACTCTGTATGTAAATATTTTCCACTGATGGAAGTGATTCATTCTCTTGATAGCAGAGCAATTGGTTATTTTAGCCAATATTTGGACCAGTATATTCGGTAGATTCGTGGATTCGAGCCCCCTATTGACAACGAAGAGCCCTATTGAAACGCCAAAAAGGAGGAGGCCGGTTTAGTTAGAGCGAGCGCATGGCGCAGGGCTTCTTTTCTGTAGGCCCAGATTCAAATTCCGCCAATGCCCTATAGCTTTTAGCAGCTATGTAATAATTCAAACCCCCGTTGTTTTAGACCCCATCTGAAGTTGTATAAAACAAAAAGTACATGTCTGTGAAAACTTTCTGTAAAGACTTCTTCTACTAAAGATCCTACGGACCTAGCTACGTTATATGGCTTATTTTCTATAGACGCCAACTACACGTTAACTAAGTATTCTGCTTTTTCTTTAATCTGAATCCACATATTTTCAACTTTATTATGGCCCGCACCAAATGTATGTAATTTATTAACAAATTGGGAAAATACAATATCGGAATAGAAGGCCTAACGATAACCGATAGAAATGTTGGTACTGTGCCGTTTGAGACATTTTGAGATTTTTCCTGCTTAGAAAAAAAGTAATAGTAGGCTAATTACCAATTATTAATGATCGAAACCTATTGATAGTGATGGTTATTAATTTTTAGTTGCGCGAATGTTTTTAAAAACTACATCACTAGTTGTATTTCAATTTTTTACTTACATAATAGATCAAACATATCAATTTAGGCCTACACTATGTATACTTGAGTTCTTCATCTTTGACAGATCTAGTCAATAGATTGCGTTAGCCTATATAAAAGCGTTATGCGTTATGTAAAGTCAATGCTTCTATCAAACTCAATATGTATCGATATTGGTTCCACATCACAACACTGAATTCTTACAAGTCCCTTATTTTGAG